TTTTATAAAGAAAATAAGGCAGGATAACAGAGAATGACTGGGGAAAGAGATGTTCTTTAAACTGGGTGATCAAAAGAAATGCCTCTGGGAGGTGACATTTGAGCTGAAATCTGATAACAATGAAGACACCAAGAGGCAGTGAGTTGCAGGCAGAGGGAACAGCTGATGCAAATGCCTTTAAGTCGGTGGAACTTTGTAAGCAAGGCAGAGATAGGAGATGAGACCTGTAATGTGGAAGGTAATTATCATGCAGAGTAGTGGTTCTCAAAGAGTGGTCCACAGATCCCTTGGGTGAGGGTCCCCAAGACACTTTAGAGGGTCAGCAAAGTCAAACTCTTTTTCATAAGAGTGCTAAAATATTATTTGCTTTTTTCTCTTTGTTGACATTAGTGTTAACAGTTTAAAAGCAATAGTGGGTAAAACTACTGTAACCTCAGCACAAGTCAAAGAGTGGCCCTGAACTATACTAGTAGTCATTATATTCTTCACCCATCACATATCATTTGAATGATTGGTTGAGTTGCAAACTGAACTAGTCACCTCTTTATGGAAACCATTTTTACTTGAAAGACAAATTATGATTATTCAGACATGGATGTCTGGCAGACATTTTCTCAAAAAGTAAACCAAGTTTCAATTCAAGAAATACAGCTGGCAGTGTTTGTTACCAATGATAAAATTCAAGCTTACAGGTGAAAATTAAAACTTGGGAAAACTTGAATTTGCTACCATGAGCCTGACATCTTCTTGATACTTGAAGTCTTTTCTAATGAGATCAAGGATGATATAACAAATGGGATATTTTGATATTATATAATGAAACGTGTTAACATTTGAAAGATCTGCATAAGTCAATGAAACACTATTTTCCAAATTAACCAATGCCTGATGTTAGAAATCATGCATGTGGGAAAGACTCATTCAAAGTGCAAGACAGCCCAATAGCTTTTCAGTATATCAGAGTGTGAAAGTTCCTTAATATGGTTCCATATTTCAAATTGCAACTAACCTTGAAGAACTACCACTTGTCAAGTTTGGGTATAGAAGCAAAGAAAATCTGACAATATCTGAAAAAGCTGTTAAAATAGCTCTCCCTTTTTTAAGCTGCATATCTGTGTTAGACCAGGTTTTCTTCATATACTTCAACCAAAATAATAAATTAAAACATTGGATGCAGAAGTAGATATAAGAATATAGCTGTCTTTTATTACAAAGTTATCAAGGAGACTTGCAAAAATGTAAAACAATGCTATTCTTCCTGTCAACGTTTTTTTGTTTTAGAAAATAGTTATTTTAATAAAAATATATTTATGTTAATATGTAATGCACTTAATGTTATTATTTAAAATGAATTAACAAACATTTTTAAATTGTCTATATTATACAGGAAATGTTTACTTTCAATCTATATTATTTTAAGTTTGCTATATTTTACATAGTAAATATCAATAGTTAAAGCCAACATAAACAAAAGCTCTTGGGTTCCTCAGTAATTTTTAAGAAGAGCGACTGAGATCAAAAAGTTTAAGTATTGCTGATGGAAAACACATTCTTTTCAAATGCACATGGATCATTCTCCAGGATTGATCACATATTAGGCCACAAAACAAGTCTCAATAAATTTAAGAAGATCGAAATAATACCATGCATCTTTTCTGACCACAAAGGTATGAAATGAGAAATCAGCGACAGGAAGAAAACCAGAAAAGCCAAAAAATGTGATTAAACAAAATGCTAATGAACAACGATTGGGTCAATGAAGAAATCAAAGGAGAAATCAAAAAATTCCTGGAGGCAAATGAAAATGAAAATACGGCATGCCAAAATCTGTGGGATACAGCAAAAGCAGTTCTAAGGGGGAAGTTTATAGCAATTCAGGCCTACCTCAACAAAGAAGAAAAATTCCAAATAGACAATCTAAAAGTGCATCTAAAGGTACTGGAAAAAGAGCAACAAACAAAGCCCAAAATCAGCCAAAGGAAGGAAATAATAAAAGGCAGAGCAGAAATAAATGAAATAGAGACTGAAAAAACAATAGAAAAAAATTAATGAAACAAAGAGCTGGTTCTTTGAAAAGATAAACAAAATTGACAAACCCTTAGCTAGACTCACCAAGAAAAAAAGAGAGAAGGCTCAGATAAATAAAATCAGAAATGAAAGAGGAGAGATTACAACGGACACCTCAGAAATACAAAAGATAAGAGAATAGTATGGAAAGCTATATGCTAACAAATTGGATAATCTAGAAAAAAACGGATAAATTCTTAGAAACAAACAATCTTCCAAAACTGGACCAAGAAGAAGTAGAGAATTTGAATAGACCAATCACCAGTGAGGAGATCAAAACAGTAATCTAAAACCTCACAAAAAATAAAAGCTCAGGACCAGATGGCTTCCCTGGTGAATTCTACCAAACATTCCAAGAAGACTTAATACCTATCCTTCTCAAACTCTTCCAAAAAAACTGAAGAGGAGGGGAGGCTTCCTAACTCATTCTACGAAGCCAACATTATCCTGATACCAAAACCAGATAAGGACAAGGCAAAAAAAGAAAATTACAGGCCAATATCACTGATGAACATTGATGCAAAAATCCTCAACAAAATACTAGCAAATTGAATACAACAATACATTAAAAATATCATACATCATGATCAAGTGGGTTTTATTCCAGGGATGCAGGGATGGTTCAACACCCACAAATCTATCGATGTGATACATCACATTAACAAAATGAAGAATAAAAATCACATGATCATCTCAATAGATGCAGAGAAAGCATTTGACAAGATATAGCATCCATTTATGATAAAAACTCTAAATAAAATGGGGATAGAAGGAAAATACCTCAACATAATAAAGGCCATATATGACAAACCCACAGCAAATATCATTCTCAATGGAGAAAAACTGAAAGCTATCCCTCTAAGAACAGGAACCAGACAAGGATGCCCACTGACACCACTCTTATTTAACATAGTATTGGAAGTCCTAGCCAGAGCCATCAGGCAAGAAAAAGAAATAAAAGGAATCCACATTGGAAAAGAAGAAGTGAAACTGTCACTTTTTGCAGACGACATGATTTTATATCTAGAAAACCCTAAAGAATCCACCAAAAAACGTTTAGAAACAATAAAGGAATACAGTCAATTCACAGAATACAAAATCAACGTACAAAAATCAGTTGTATTTCTATACACCAACAACGAAGTAGCAGAAAGAGAAATTAAGAATACAATCCCATTTACAACTGCAACACAAAGAATAAAATATCTAGGAATAAACTTAACCAAAGAGATGAAAGATCTGTACACTGAAAACTATAAAAGATTGTTGAAAGAAATCGAAGAAGACACAAAGAAATGGAAAGATATTCCATGCTCTTGGATTGGAAGAATTAACATCGTTAAAATGTCCATACTTCCTAAAGCAATCTACAGATTCAGTGCAATCCCTATCAAAGTTCCAACAACACTTTTCACAGAAATAGAGCAAAGAATCCTAAAATTTATATGAAACAACAAAAGATCCTAAATAGCCAAAGGATTCCTGAGAAAAAAAGAACAAAGCTGGAGGTATCACACTCCAGAATTTCAAAATATACTACAAAGCCATAGTAACCAAAACAGCATGGTACTGGCACAAAAACAGACATACAGATCAATGGAACAGAATTGAGAGCCCAGAAATAAACCCACACAGCTAATATTCAACAAGGGAGCCAAGAGCACATGATGAAGAAAGGAGAGTCTCTTCAATAAATGGTGTTGGGAAAACTGGACAGCCACATGCAAAAGAATGAAAGTAGACCATTATCTTACACCATGCAAAAAAATCAACTCAAAATGGATTGAAAACTTGAATGTAAGACCCGAAACCATGAAACTTCTAGGAAAAAAATAGGCAGTATGCTCTTTGACATTGGTCTTAGCAGCATGTTTTCAAGTACCATGTCTGACTGGGCAAAGGAAACAAAAGAAAAAATGAACAAATGGGGCTACATCAAACTAAAGAGCTTCTGCACAGCAAAGGAAACCATGAACAAAATGAAAAGACAACCTAACAACTGGGAGAAGATATTTGCAAACCATATATCTGATAAGGGGCTAATATCCAAAATATACAAAGAACTCATACAGCTCAACAACAAAAAAACCAACAATCCAATTAAAAAATGGGCAAAAGATCTGAACAGAGATTTCTCCAAGGAAAATATACAGATGTCCAACAGGCATATGAAAAGATGCTCAATGTCATTAGCTATCAGGGAAATGCAAATCAAAACTACAACGAGGTATCACCTCACTCCAGTCAAAATGGCTATAATTAACAAGACAGGAAACAACAAATGTTGGAGAGGATGTGGCGAGAAGGGAACGCTTTTACACTGCTGGTGGCAGTGCAAACTGGTGCAGCCACTATGGAAAGCAGTATGGAGTATCCTCATAAAATTAAGGATAGATCTACCATATGATCCAGCTATCCCACTGCTGGGTAGTTATCCAAAGAACTTGAAAATGCAAAGGCATAAAGATACCTGCACCCCTATGTTCATTGCAGCATTATTCACAATAGGCAAGACTTGGAAGCAACCTAAGTCCCCATCAAGGGACAAATGGATAAAGAAGATGTGGTATTTATACACAATGGAATACTACTCAGCCATAATACATGATGAAATCTGGCCATTTGTGACAACATGGATGGACCTTGAGGGTATTACGCTGAGTGAAATAAGTCAGAGGGAGAAAGTCAAATACCATATGATCTCACTCATAAATAGATGATAGAAACAACAACCAACAAACACATAGCAACGTAGATTGGATTGGTGGTTACCATGGGGGAAAGGGGAGGCGAGAGGGCAAAAGAAGTGATTAGGCTCACATGTGAGGTGATGGACTGTAATTAGTTTTGGGGTGGTGAACATGATATAATCTACACAGAATTTGAAATATGTTATGATGTACATCTGAAAGCTATCTAATGTTATAATCCAATGTTACTACAATAAAATAAATTTTAAAAAGTAAATAAATAAAAAATAAACTAAAAAAAAGAATTGCTGATGTAAAGTTATGAATTCAGGTTCTACTGAGAGACAGTACAGTGTACTGCTTAAGAATGTAGACTCTAGAGCCAGATTGCTCAAATTGGAATCCCAGAACCAACACTGAACTTGTGTATGACCTCAAATTATTTAACCATTCTTGCCTCAGTTTCCCCATATGAAAAAAAGGGATAATAATGAAACTCATCATAGATTTGAACTATGATTGAGTCCATTTGTATAAAGCACTTAAATTATGTCTTTGGTAAATACTGTTATGTGTTTATTATCATTATTATAATAAATATAATGGCAAGCCACTGAGAGTTTTAGGAAGGAGTAGTACATAATCCGATTTAGTATTTTAAAAAAATCTATTGGCTGTTGTGTAGGAAATGAATTGTAAGAGGACAGAATCTGAAGCAAGGAGACCAGTTAGGAGGCTCTGACAGTATCTGAGGCAAGAGATATGGTTTGGACTAGATTGGCAATAATGGAGACAGAAAGAGTGGACCGTTTTTAGAAATGTTATAGCAGGAGGGCTAATAGGAGTTGCCTCCCTATTGGATGTGGAAGATGAGGGAAAGAACAGAATCAAGAACCACTCCTAGGATTGGGATTGAATAATAGGGTGGATGAGGATTCCATTTCCCAGGAGAGTGAAGACTAGCAGAGGAGCAAGGTACAACAGAGGGATGCAACCCATAGTTCTGTTCTAGACATGCTCTGTTTGAGACTTCCCTTCCACATCCCCAAAGAAACATCAAGAGTTGGGTTTTTGAATCTGGAGTTCAGGAAGACATCAGGGTTCAAGGTGTAAACTTAGGTTCAAGCATCATGTAGAGATTATAGAAAGCCGTGGATGAGCTCTCCCAGGAAGAAAGTGTAGACAGTGATGCGTAGCAGAACATGCCTCCCCCAAAATGCTGCTTTGGAGTGTTAAGTATTTTCAGCCATGGACACTTGGAAAACAGCAAATGCAAGGAGAGGATTTCTCTGAACTCGCCTTATCTGCCTGAAGACAGATCCTCCAAAAGGAATTCAATTGTCATAAATCCCCTCCCAGGAAGATTCATCAACCAAGGAAGACTGACTCTTCTCACAGGAGAGGAAACTAGAAGCAGATACCACACCCAGACAAATTTGTCAAAACTATCATATCCCCAATATACTCTTCTAAGGGCCCATTGGTCCTTCCTAAAAACCATTCTCTCTCACTTATCTTTTGTTAATCTGTCTTTTATTACAGGTGTCTCAGCTAAGAACTCAGAAAAGTAGAGGTAAAATTACTCCCCCCACCCTCCGCCCCCGCCACAGCAGCTACTGGGACACTCCATTTTTATAATTTCTTTTTCATAAAAGCTAGCTAAACAAGATGGGTTGTGTGGTGCAGAATTATATACTTATAAATTAAGCACTCTCAAGTTTTTGCTGTTTTCTCTTCACCTGTTTTGCTCTCTTATGTCTTTTATCCTTGTACAGTTCTTTTATACCTTTATATGTCACATTTTCTTATTTCCCTCCAAATTTCCTCATTCTCTTTCCATAAGCTATTTTTGTTATCTAAGTTGGTCTAATTTCTTGCCCTCCAGATGACTCACCCTGTGCCCACCTCACCAGCTCCCAGCCCCCGGTCTGTGTTAATAGACTCAGAATAGAAAGAGATTTGCTTCTGGATCAGCAAAACCGATCCAAATTCTGGCTCCACCACTTACCCCCCATGTGATCTTGGACTCAAAGAGTTTCCTTCCGCTGTGAAATGGAGATAATAAAACTCTCCAAAGTACAATTGGGGAGAGAAAACGAAATAGTGGCTATGAAGAGAACTGTTAGAGGGCCGAGTGTCCAGAAGGTGCTCAACAAATGGCAGATGTTAATTCTTATGGCATTTGAGCTTTCTCCCACTTCCGTTTTAGTGACACTTTTATGATTTTTCCAGGCTCTTATCTTCAAACCCAGTAATTTTCATTTTAACTATAAATATCTTCTTTGTTTGTTGCCTGCCTCACATACAGACATTGATGCCTGTAAATGTGGTTATGTGAGCACTGAGCAGCGCAGGAGGCATAGCTGGTTTGATGAAGTCGAGCCCTCTATCCTCGGCTCAGACCTCCACGTTATCATCCTTTTCCTCTATCCATCTTTCCTGAGCTTCCATGCTAGGTCTCAGCCCTCTCCACCCTCTCAGCAATCTTCTTCACCAGGCTCTTTAAGTGTTCCATTTAGGAATTTTTCTCTCTTTGTCTGAGTATATTATTTCAGGAACCCTTCAACTGGAACAGGGCGATTTTGAAACTTGTCTCTCAGCTGCTGTCAGCTCTTCCTCCTTTTTTAAAGTTAAATTCGAGTCTCCATCAGCAGCACCACACGCCCTGAGTGGCAATTATACAGCAATAGATAATACACATGAAGATTGACACCAGAAACTTCTTGATCCAACTCCCTCTATTTTCTCATGATAAGATCCAAACTTCCTGCATCATTATCCTTCCTGCTAATCTCGTGTTTACGCTTCAATCTACCCTTAAAGCTTTCTCTCTATAAAGTTTTGCTAAGAATTCTCACTAGCTTCCACATTCACATCTTTAGCATAATTATATTTTCTTTCCTGACAAATTTACAGCTTTGTACTTTGTTTTGTTGACTCTTAGCTTCCGCTTCTCTGGAAAACGACTTAATTTAAATACTCTCACTTTTTATTTCACAGGGATGTTGTAGGTGCCAGCTATAAATGGGCCTGGCTTCTTTCTCACTGTCTATTTTACATCTTTACTTATCAAGGTCATTCCATCACTATCTAGATCTCTGAGAGTTTAAAACCCTAAAAAGACGTTTGAGACCTGAAAGAAAAAAGTCTTGGCTCCAAAATACAGAAAGATAACTGCAAAGTCAAAATCAATATGTTATTCCAATAGCAAAACTATAAAACTCTTTTCAATTTTTAAAAGGAAAATGATATGTGTGGAATGTTGTTCCGTTTAATACATTTGATATAACGTTTTTTTGGGCAACCGATTTTTGCAGTCTTGAGGGATTAAGAGGACTTTTCTCTCCCTTGATCTTCTTATCACTTTAAATCTAATCTTATTCCATCAGGAATCTGTTCATCTTTCAAATAATTTTGCCAAGTTTTAAGCATTCAGCAAATTAAGTTTTCCTAATCTCATACATAATACAAAAAGGAATATCTACATTTCAGAACTTCTATTCTTTCTTTCAAATACATCCTTCTGGTTCACTATAAATATACTTCACACAATAAAGAACTGTATCTAAATAAATGTAGTTTAAACTTTTGTTCCTGTGGTAGATTCCAAATATTTGTTTTAAGGATAATTTTTTAATCACATCTAGCCATATCACCATTTCTTGACTACAACTGAAATTTCTTCCCACTATCATTCTTTTCTAGTATAAAGTTGGCATGTACTTAAATTTTTCAATTAATTTCAATTAAATAAAATTTCAGTTACAGTTAGAGAATACATACTGACTGTGCACGAAACTGGCACAAAGGAAGGAGTAATCAATTCTGCTATTTAGAGAATGGCATCAAGGAATAACAATAACTAACAGTTTTTGAGCACCTACTATGTGACAGGAACTTACTACTTTCTAACTTAATTAACACAAACTTCCCCACACTGGAATTTTTGAAGTTCACAGCAATGATCATAACTTAATTTTCATTTGTTGTTGCTCCTGTGAGTAGTTCTAGATGTTTCTAGGTGTGTCTTGAATATTGCCCAATAAGCCTATTTATCCTGGGTACTACTAGGGACCCACTGAGCATGAGGATCTCCAACGGGTTCTGTCCCATGGCAGGTGCAATTTGCTAATATACTGAAGTCCCCTACTGGGTGCTGCCACAGCTCCAGCAGGCCCTGACACCACCATGGAGGACCTTTAAAGTGCCAGAGCAGGGTGTCAATCTTTGACCAAGTAGGGAACAACATCCCTCACCTTTCTGTGATGGACCCTGTTAGAGGCCCCCTACGCAATGATGTCCATGACGTAACATCCTACTGAGTGCTTTATCAGGTTGTTCTTCCAGTAGTTCATTCCAGGTCTTTTTCTCCCTTGAACTAAGACATGAGTGTATGGGCCAGAGTGGAGACATTTGATTAATATGGCAATGAAGCTTTACAGTTCAATACTCGGCTGTTTCCCTGGGAACAAATACCTTCAATGTGGCTCTTCAACCCCAGGTAAGTGGATGCCGTCTGGTCAAATCCCACCAATCGTCTGGCACACCTACCCACATCCAAACTCCAACAAGGGTTGCCGCTCAGGCTTATTGGCTAGAAGAGAAATTAAATTTATTGTAGAAATGAGAAAACTGAAAATCAACAACTTTAGGTAGTTAACCTGCCCAAGTTCATATGCTCAGCAAACAGCTGAAACAGGATTCAAATCCAGCTCCAAGTTTTCTGGCTTTTTGTTTTTTGTTTAAGAATATCAAACTGTATCCTAGAACTCAGACAAGGGCCTCTTTATCACAAGGTATATCATTCTGTTCTTTAAATGCTTGCCCTCCCTTTCCAACCAACTTCGCAGGGTGCATCGATAAACAACACTGACCATGACTCTGAGGAGTTTACACTGCAGGGAGCTGATCACTGTCTTCTTTCCTTTCTTCCCAAGCCATCATTTTAATTTATATACCTATGGGGAAGTCATCTTTCAGCCTCTCCAAGGGGGAAAAAAAAACAAACAAGAGTAATATCTGGCTTCTCTACAGGAAGATAAAGGGTTTGTCAAGACTGAAATATCAGCCCAACTAACCACTCTTTGGCAGCCAAGGGAATGGACTGTGCCTGTTTTCTTCTGCTGCGTTTGAGGTCAGAGAAAACAAATAAAGCTATTTCCAGACCACAGAGAACTTTATTACAGCTGAGACACATGACTACTGTCTCCAACACACACTGCCTGTAGTATATCAACACAGCCACCTGGCCAGAGGAGCTGCTCCAAGAGTCACTAGGAAATTTAACAGAATTCCATCCACCCCTGGCAAGTATGTAACAGTCACCTACGCCAGCTCTTCCCGAGCACATAGGAATACTGTACAAAGTGGGCTCACGAAGGAGGGAGAGGAAGACATTGCTCAGGGATTAACTAGAGTTTCTTTTAGAGTAGGGGTGGGGAAGACTCCAGGAAACAGGCATCGTAAGGAAAAGAAACAAGCTTGTCAGCCTGAAGCCCCCAGCACTGGTGCTAGATTTATTTACAGCCGTGGTCTGCAGTAGTGATTTGGGGGGTCAGTGGGGTCACCCTAGCTTGTGATCTAGATAAGATTACTTTGAATCTCATTGTATACTTGTAGAAGGTCCCAAAGCTCTCTCTAATATTTCATCAAACCCTGATGTCTTGAGCTACCGTGTTCATCTTTGATTTCAGACTTCTGCTGCTGCGAATTATTTAGCCACACCATTCCTGTGCTTACCCCAACAACCTAGACACAGATCTGAGCACTTTTCCATAATTCCCACAAATCAGGCAAGTTGTATATGGCATAGACTTGACGGAAGGTTTGGGAAGGGTTAACCAGTTTTACCAGTTTTAAATGCCCACTAGAATACAATTATCATGAAGGCAGAAATTTATTCATTCATGCTATAACTCGAATGCTGAGAACAATTAGAGGGTGCTCAATAAATATCTGTCGTATGGATGAAGTAAGGTATCGCTTCCTCAGGAAAATACAAGCAACCTCATGTTTCTTTTATGCATCCGTGTTCTTAAAAGTCTTTGGCCTCCATCCCACTAGGCCTTTCTCACTGGCCATTTCTTTCTGTGTAGCTCCCAGCCTCTTGCCATCTTATTGGTTCCTCCTTCCGTCTCTCCTCCTCACTCCTTTCTTCCTGGATTGGTCCTGGGAACTTCAAATTTTCCTCATTTTATTATATAAAGCAATTTGCATTTCTCTACGCCTGACTCAGAAGGTTTGCATATCCAAACCCATCTGAGTGCTCAGCAAAACCATGTAGCCTTTTAGTTACCTGACTGCACCTGGCATTATGTTACCCTAGGTGAATAGGACCAGTATTTCCTTCACAGGAGAAACAAATCAGCTAAAGCAGGAATCATTGAAAATTATGTATTTATACCTTACAATATTTATTTTATCTCAAAACATGCTCACGTTCATTATTCCCCAATTGTTTGATGTCAGGTCAAGGAATTTTCTTTGAGCACGAGTCCCCTGACTGGAGCTGTGAATCAGCTTTCCTGAGTAAACCACGGCCCTAGCGCATCTTGTACTATTTTTAGTGTTTGATATTTTAAGGCAATTGACAAGCTCTCTAAGGGCAGAATTTAAAAAGAATTTTTTTGTGTTTTCCCCAGTGTTTCATAGCAGTCTTGCCACAGCGATTTTCTTAGTAATTTGCCTTTGTTTAAGATTTCCAGTGGTTTTTATATGTATTTTATCAGATGACATAACACACAATTAAGGATATAATTTAATAAATAAATTTGGGCACAAACACAAAGGACCATTGGTAAACAAATGACAACTGGAGGGAGTGGAAGTACATGTGTCCACTGGCCGCAGGCATTCAGTGTGTATTTCAGTTAATCTGGTGAGAAATACTTTACTGTAGCCATTTTTCCTCCATAAATTCGGATCGGGGTCTCTATCTTTGTGCTTAGTAAAAAACACTTTCATGTTTTAGTTCCATTAGTTGGTAAAGTTCTTTTCGGAAAACTCATTTTTGCATCTCCACTGAGATCACGAGACTAAAGAAGGTGAGGACGACTGAGAGTGTGGAGCCGAGGTGTGTGCCTCCAGGCCTGAAGTGAGAAAGGGCTCTTAGTAGGAAGCATACAAAAGAGACCCAAAGTGTTGCCAGAAACCGAGTGGCACATGCAGATGCCTTGTTCAGCTGCCCCTTCCCACGCGGAGTAATTTCCCTTCTTTTCTCCTATCTTTAGAGGTTTCATGTTCTATTGAAGAGTGTGTCTCATAAATCTGCCAACTCAGATGTTTCATTATTTGCTTCTGACCCTTGAAACTCTCCCAGCAGAACTCTCCTCCTTTTCATTATGATCTACATGCTAGGAGTTTTACAACATAAAGAAGACACATAAATGTGTCTGGGAAGGACTGTTTTCTTGGTCCCTCACATCTGAAAATCTTTTCCTGGTTATATGCCATAATCAGAGGATTCCCAGAACTGCGTCTACCTCCTGTCTTCAAATATGAATTAAAAGCACCTGGCAGTTATCTACCTCATCCCCACCCTGACATGGCCTTCCTTCATATTTGCAATTTCCAGACTAAATTTTTAAAAAACAAAAACAGTCTACTCTTTCTTCCTACTGGAGAAAGTGGGAACGGCAACAAGTTAAGTTAGAAAACCAAGTGTGAGTCCCAGCTTGGACCAAATATGCGACATACAAAATCATTACCTCTAGCACGGTTAACCACCCTTGCAATGGCCATGTGCCTCTCTACAGCCTGATGTTCCATTCTTCCTGACATCCACTAAAAGTCTCCAGGGAACACCCACTCCTGACCACTATCGGTCACTCACCACCACCTACCCTACCCCATAAAACAACCCCAGAACCTTCCTTCTGGATCAGAGCTGAATCCTGTGACGGCCTCCCTCCAGGAAACAGCAGAATTGTACCCACCCTATTCCACATCGACCATTATCTGGAACATGGGCCCTTGTTCAGCATTTTCTCATCTCCATACTGCTATGCCATGATCTGCAAATGCCTCCATATCCTCTATCTCTTCTTAGACTGTTCCATACACCTCCCGGCTATGTTTGGAGTAGGAGGGATGATGTCTTAGGGATGGGGTGCACAGAGGTGCAAAGGCCCTAGTAATATTTTATATCTTAGGCTATAATGTAGGTACTTGAGTGTTCATTTTCTTATTCTTTTAATTTCTATCCATTCATTGCAGATACATCTTTATATGCATGATCTACTTCATCATTTAAATTTATTTTTTTTAAAAACAACTTCTGGGGGCTGGCCCAGTGGCACAGCGGTTAAATGCGCACGTTCTGCTTTGGCGGCTCAGGGCTCGCCGGTTCAGATTCCGGGTGCGGACATGGCACTGCTTCGCAAGCCATGCCCAGGCGGCATCACACATACAAAGTAGAGGAAGATGGGCACAGATGTTAGCTCAGAGCCAGTCTTCCTCAGCAAAAAGAGGAGGATAGGCAGCAGATGTTAGCTCAGGGCTAATCTTCCTCAAAAAAAACAAACAAAAAATTTCTGTTCCTTTGAGATATATACCATCTAGCCATGACACTCTCTATTCCTTTTCGTCAACCACTGTCAATTGCTCAAGTCCTGGTTATTCTCCCTCATTTATTGTTACGTGAATGAATCTCCCTCTCCAGCAAGGGCCTGCTATCAATCTGGTTGATTTTAATATCCAATAGGTGACCTGCCCAGCAGATTGGACTCCGAGCTCCTTGAGCTCCTTGGTTCACAGACATATTCCTTCCCCCTCTCTCAGCCACCCTGAACTGCTCAAATCAGAAATGCAGAAAATCCACCCTCTTATTCAAACACTACCCTTCCAATGCTTGTCTGTCTCAGTTGTCCTCTATTCACCTGTATGTCGACCTTGTCTACCTGACTGGGACTTCCATTCCTTCAGGCCTTCTTTATGCCTTTCTCCCACTCCCCTCCTGTATTTACTTCCATTCTTGTTCAGCTTAGATTCTGTAGTCCATCTCTCCACTCTTTTGACTCTTCCCTTTTTTTCTTTTTTTACCCATTTGTCCTTTCATTGTACCCTCCTGGAAAAACTCCATACCTGAAAAAGCCCAATCATTCACTTTCCTGTACTTGCTCTTGAGCAGCTGAACATTGCTGGAGAAAATCATAAAACTGGAATGAGCAGGGCCACAGTAAATTCAGTCACTAATCTACTGATCTCACCACTCATCCTGCAAACAACCTTATGATGTGTCTCTTACCAGTCCCTTCTCTCACTCATCACAGTAACTTGTCACGTCCCTCCCCCTCCTCAAACCTCTGACCCCCAGCTCTTCTTTCATTCTCAGCAGATGACTCAGTTCCTTATTCAGAAAATAAATTTAAACAATCATACACAAACTACCTCATCTTCTAGACCAAAAGTCTAGAAATGTACATGTATCTACAACCATCCTACAACACTTTCTTCCTTTTATAAGAGTTGTTCCCTTCCACTGTGCTTGGAATCCCGTTGCCACCCATTTTCTTGGAGCCATCCTCACTTAATTATGTCTCCTCTCCCACATTTGCCACCTCTTCCTCTCCATTAGCTCCTTCTTATCAACATTTAAATAACTAAATTTTACCCTTAAAAATCCTCCCATAACCCTACTTCCCCTTCTGGTTATCACTCTCTCTCTTCCCTCTGCCTCTGGTAAGAGAGGCATAACTTCTGGTTGTTTTCAGTAACTGAGTAGATTTCTAGAACCAGCCTATTCTTCAGGTCCTGGCCTACTATAAAATGATGATAATCACAGTACTGTACCATTCAGTTCTACTAATCCCTTCCATTGATGTTTGGTTCATTGAGTACCCAAAACGCATTTCTTCTTTTACCTGTGATGACTAGTAGAATCAGGGAGGCTAAGCCAAGGGAACCAGAGTGTTAATACCAGGTAACTCCTGTTCTGTTCCAGGAGGTCTGGAGGCAGACTTCCCATAAGCACTCACACGATCTCTACAAGTCATGTCCTGAGAACGTTCATCCTCCTTGTAGGCCCTGCAAGGGAGGAGTCAACTCCCAGTACTAAGGTGTCATCAGTTGTCACATAGAAGGTCAGTAAAGGACCACTCAAGTTACCTGAAAAGTGCTACAGCTCAGAGTTAATAAATTTTTTTTGGAGAGTCACCACCACTTTGATTGAATTTATCAGCAATTCACATATTATATTTGGTGAGTTTTAAACAGTAAATAAAATTACTTCTAGGAAAACGTTTAGTGCTAGTTAACACTTCTTTTTCAAAATTTTAAGATTTTACCCCCAGCTTTATCGAGGTATAATTGAC